CGGTCTGGCCCGAGAACGGGCTCCGACCTTCATTTGCTAGCGCAGGCCTCGCTAGGGAAACGAGCTTCTCCCTCGGTCCCAACATGAACTCCCGCGCTTTTGCCGGCAGTGCTGAAGTTGGGTTGTTCACCACTGCCCTGTCGAAATTAAACACTTTCCCAAAGTGTTACGCTTTCAGCAAGAGCCCTGTTCTGGGACCTGCAGTCCTCATTCAGTAGCTATTGCAAAACCATTCCTGCAGCCGTCAGGTCACCTGCACGGAGCAGCCACAGGTCAGAGCAGCTTTATCAGAATAGACATACACTGCCCAGGATAGATCCTGCCCCTCTGTTACAGATGCTTTCATTCGTGTTGCCACCCTCTTGTGTTTTCCCTGCATAGTACCAGTATCTGGATGGTCCTATGTATTTTTATGGGTTCGTAAATTCAGTTCTTCTTCACTAGAATGAAGTTTCCGCTAATAAAACCTGCATAAGTCTTCTGTGTTTGTGTCACAGAAGCAAGTAGTTAAGTCCTTTGTTAGTGACAGTATTGCTCAGCCATTTTCCAAGGGATGGAGGGTTTAGAGACAACAGGAACTCTGCTTAAACAACTCCTGTTTGTACAGGCAGTTTGCATTTCATTAAGTAATACTATGAGCAGACAATAATTTTGAAGCCATTCTAGCCAGTTCTTGAAGTTATAACAGCACACTAACTGGCTGTTCTTTGCAGTTACCAGTTGTGTTCTTAGGTAGAACAAGCTTACCTTTGTTCAGAAAGTGAAAGGATGGAGAATGCAGACAACAGAAGAGTAGTGTACATGACAAAAGTTGTACTATGAAGGATTCTGGCAGAGGATTATTCTGAGATCTTTTAGCTGTTTAACTGGGCTGCTTTTTTTTTTCCTTTTAGCCAGCCTATCAAAATCTGAGACAGAAGGTAGACAACTTTGTATCGACCCACCTGGACAAACAGGAGTGGAATCCAGCAATGAACAAAAACCAGTTACGAAATGGGCTAAGGCAAAGCGTGATACAGTGAGTAAACAACATTCTGTAAAATAACAGTAATGCTATTTGATAAGTAATATATAACTATCTTGCCACCTAAATCAAATAAGAATTTGTAGAATTCTATCACACCACTTTCTGTTGTACTTTCCTAGGTTTCAGTATAATACTGTATGCAGTCTTAACTTTCATTAAAATGCTTACACTGCTGCTTTACCTGAAATTTTTATTTTCATGAGTTGAGCAGCATGGTGAAGTACCCATATTTGCTATCTCATCAAATTATTGCTGCAAGCAGCAGTGTGCCTGCTAGCAAAACTGTACCTGATGTGCTGAGCTGAATGACCTTGGTCTGTGTCTTTGGAAAAGAGAAGAGCCGACATCACCTAAAGAAAATATGCTGAAGATGCCAAAGCTTGTTTAAGTAGACTCCGACCACTAGCAGGCAGTCATCACACTGGGATAGCCTGATTTCATGCAGCAGCGGGTAGCTTCTGCACAGCTATTTAAGATACTAACATTTCCAGCATGACAGGAAAGCCAGCTTAAGCTATGCTGCTTAGAGATTTAGGTTTAGTATCTCTCACTGCTAACTCCAATATTAGCGTCTGAAGTATGAGCCTTAGCTTGTTTGACTTAAAGTGATAGATAAAAACTTTATAGTAAAAGTTATGGAGAGAGGGGCAGTAGGGAATTTGATAATGGCGTTTATGCTTATAAGGAAGGCTATTAGAATGTCTCACAGCAGAAGAAACTGTGTATCATGATAATCTGCCACTAAAATGAAGTGGATAGTTGGAAGAGGTTGTGTGGGAGAGCCTATAATGAGAAGAACGTAAAGCGCTCCCTTTAGGCAACCAATACAAAGTCTAGACACACGGTATTTGGGAGTTTTAAGACTCCCTATCGCTCCTGTAGTTGCAAGACTGAGTGCTGAGGGTGTCCAGACGTGTGTGCCCTTTGTTGCTCACACGTACACGTGTGCTTTTACCTAACGTGTGTGCCCTTTGTTGCTCACACGTACACCTGTGCTGTTACCTGGAGGTGACACGATGTGCCGTGACCCTGCACCCACTCGCTCACCAGCACTCAGGGCCCTGCTAGCCTCGTGGCTCCTTTTCCAAGTGCCAGGCAACGTCTCTGTTTCCTGTCCCCACTCCCTCGCAGACATGGCTTAAGCCTGCTAGACAGCCTGTGCCCCATAATCCAAGAGTCTGACACAGCCCCTGAAGTAGTAAGTCACTTCAACTACTAGTGTTCAGTTCCAGAAACTTTGCTGTGTGCTACATGTGCTTGTTTTTATAATTAATACCCATCTGTCTAGACTACCAGTTACAAGGAGCAAGTGACAGTGATGTTATTAGGGGGCAGGCCTCTTCTCCCTCCAGTCAGCCAAAAAAAAGACTGTGCTCTCACCTGCCCTCCTCCTCAGAATAGCTTGTTTCCCTTGTTTGTGCCAAAATGTGTTTGTTTGCTTTCATGTTGACCTCATTTCCACATGAGCCCTATTACAGTGGCTCTTGTCCAAGTACCTGGGAGACCAGATGTCAGTTGTTAATTCTGTAGGGAGAAGCGAGAGGGGGGTGAGGGGATATAGGTGACTGAAACAACTCCCTGTTAAGGATCCACTGAGTGGGCTGCAGTTCTCACCATGTTAATGCTAATTGCAGTTGACAGGAGGGCTCTGGAGAATTACTGGAGGAGATTGGGGAGAAGTTTTTCAGCTGAGCTGAATGACTCCTTTGTCTTTGTTCAAGGTCAGGAATGCTGGAAGCTGGAGTGGACAGAATTATTTCTCAGGTGGTGGATCCAAAACTAAACCACATCTTCAGGCCCCAGATAGAGAGGGCGATTCATGAATTTTTGGCTGCACAAAAGAAAGAGGAAAGCGTGCCAGCTCCTCCTCCAGAGCCTGAGAATAAGGATCCTCCTGCTCCATCTCAGGATTCCTCCTAAAGGTCTTGTATATCTGCACTTAACTACTTACAATTTAAGGTTTTCATATACCTCGTCTCTGCAGTTTGTATAGTGCAAGATTGAGAAGACATTGTCTTCTTCCTAGCTTGACAGGGAGGACACTTTGATCATCAGCATGTTGTCAGTGTCAGACAGTCATCTGAGCTGCTTCCACTTAAGCGTCTGCTAAAAATATATTAGGACTGAAGACATAGGTATGATGTAAAACAGCTATCAAGGAACACTGTGGTCTCTGCCAGTGTTGGTTCTGGATCAGGCCAGAAGGCCTTTTATTCTGGTAAAAGCATATCCAGCAGTGGTTGACATGGATTTGGCTGGATAGCTTTCAGAGCAATATCAAATGGATTAAAAATATATATCCTTTACTGTAATACAGCTGAAAGTAGAGTGGTGACAAGTTATCGTGCTTTAGCATTGGAAGTTTTAGATAGCTCTTCTTTAGAAATACACTGGAGTGTTGAATTGTTAGTGACTGAAATACTGTTGGAGTAAGGGCAGTGGAAGTTACTCACTCTGGAAGTGAGTAACTGTTCATTCCAAACTGACTGGTTTAAATAGAGCAACCTATATCTTCCCAGCTGAAAGGACTGAGGGTGCCTTTGTTGCAAACAAGTTCATTCTGGCTTTTGTGATTAAAATAACTCAAGGGGCCTCAGGGAGCTATAATTGCCACTCTGTCTTAACACAAATGACTGTGCATCCATCTCTGCTATAGGCCCTGTATCTTAATGTTGATTTGAATATTGAGGCCTGTGTGTGCATTACTGAGGAACTACTATCTTGATGGAAAATTTCAATCTGCAGCTTTGCTGGGGAACTTAAAACCATACTGCATGAAAGGAAGTCAATTGTGAATTGTTCTCTCTGCCAGAGCTTTCTGAAAGCAAAAAATTTCTTTATAATCTACAGCTGATCTATTAAGAAGGAATAAGTAACCTACAGTAGCTGTTCTTATGCTTGGAATGAGTAGAGCAGATAGCCTGATTTTTAACTTAACAGTAGAAGTTAAAGTGCCTGTAATATCATCCTGAGCTAGTTATCTGTGACTTGCAGCCTTATTGCCTTGGTAGATCTTTGCATTTGTTAAAGTCCATTATAACCTGCAGCCAAGTGCAGCTATTAATATATTCTAATTTATTTTCTATTCAAATGCATTTTCTCATGAAGATACCATCCTCTAAACTCTCTTCTTTTTCTTTCAGTGAGTTCCTGCTACTAAGCTGCTGCAGTTGCAAAATACACGTCCTGTTAGATTGGCAGTGGATTACTTGTTCCACCTGCTGCAGGACTGCTGTCTGCCAGCGATGATTACCCTGTGTCAGACCTGTGGGAAGGCATTAAAATCAGTGAAATTCAGATGCACTCAGACTTCTGCGTGTGGAGGGACAGCCAAAGTGGGAAGATAATTTTGCTATTAACTGCAGTGCAGAGAGCAGCATGTGTTCTTGTTAGTCATGCCTTCAGGCAAGGGGGTGGGAAGAAAAAGGGAGTTGGCCCTTGTTTGGAGGGAGTAGGGAAGTGGTTTGAGATGATACCAGGCTTGGGAGCAGGAAGAAAAGGAAGATGTTTTGTGGGGTGGGATAGTCTCTTGGAAACCAAGTAAGAGCTGTCAGATTTTCTCTGATATAAGCCAGATGAGAGGAAGCGTTGTACACCTCTGATGCATAATGCAGCACGGAGCAGTAGGTGCCAAGTCAGGTGTAACTCACTGCACCAGCCGCTTTAGGAATGATGCTTCCTGTTTAAAACTGGAAAGAACACTTGAGGATCAATTATCTAGATAATGTCTGTTGCACGGCAGGAAAATGTTTACAGTTGGCTATGACTATAGCCTGTTTAATTCTTATTTTCCGGGTAACTCTGGGAAGCAAAGGGCACCAGAGTAGGTGATGAGTTTGAAACTTGTCTCTTTCAACTTGAAAGACTTTTCCTCCCCATGAAATTTCTCAGGTGCCTCGCGGAAACTGTCCTGTGCTTTCAGCTTGAATGCATGCAGTGTCCTCTGGATGACAGTCAAGTAGAGAATGTGATCAAATATTCTGCCAGCAAATGTCCATACCTTTTGCAATAAAAGACTTCAAAAAGCATTTCTGACTCCTACCTTTTTCAGACTTTTTTTCTTAAGGAAACACTGCTTTAAAGAAATCCAGGAGTCCTGATTGCTGGAACCTTAATGGAAGCATGACCTTACACAGTTCATAGGTTAAGCCAGGTCTAACAGCATGGGGTTGTTAGCAGAAATTATCACGAAATAAGATGGATATTAGTATTCCTCTCCAAATAAGGCCTCTTTCAAAAAATCTGAAGTATCAAAGAACTGAACTGCCCTTACACAATTTATGAGCTCTGAATCCCAGGTAATTTCAGTGTGGTGCCAATGATGGTGAAGGCGTGTTCAACCTTGTGAAAACAATACCATTCTGGCAACAGGCTAGAGCTATTCAATTTTTTCCCTTTCAAACATCAGTCTTTTAAGAAGCTATTAACTGCCTGTGTCATTGAATAACACCTGAGCACACACGCACATTCTTTGAGCCCTTTTGCAAGTGTAAAGAAGGTTCTCGAGCAGGTTATTTGGTTCAGGCTCAACACCACGGCACTTATTTAAGATAATTCCAGAGACATCTCACCATCATGTAGTGATGCTGCTAAGTGATGCAGAAAAAGTAACTCACTAAACAAAGACTCAAGCCCAACCAGTTCTCTGCCCTCATCAGCTCTTCTACTGCCTAGTAACTAGTCCATTGACAAGTCACACACTGACTCAAGTAGACTTCCCCAAAAGACGCAGAATCAAAGTTGGTGTTAGGTATTTAGCCTCTGCCTAAACCAGCCAGTATTTTGCAGTTCTTCCATTTGTAACCACATCCCACCCCAGACTTAGCACGGTGTCTCCATCTGGTAGAGCTGAACCCAACCCAAGCCTCCAGATCAATCCCTGAGTAACTGCAAGCAGGTTTGTTAGATCAGAGCTCAGTAACTAAACACCTAAATCCAAGTATATCTGGTGAAGGGAGGACAGCCAAATGGGAAAGAATAATACATTAGATCTCTCATCTTTGGATACTTCACTCATGGGTATCCAGGCCTCACTCATCCCTCAAGTACTTGCATGTCATGGTAATGCAGTTCCAAGTTTAAAATTTATTACAGCGTTCAGAACCAGCCCAGTTTTGAATCTTGATACCAGATGAGCAAGACAACTGGATTCCCAGCCTATGGGACAGGGAACAAAACTCTCTGGGAAAGGGGAATAATCACAACTGTCTGGAGGCAAGTCCAAACCACAACTCTGAGTCCTTGGCACAGAGAAGGATCAAACTTGGGCCCCTGTCAGGATGGCGGGTCAAACCAACCCCTGCCCCAAACACTGAGCTAGTCATTGCCAAAGCACTCTGAATCCACACTGGAATCAACACAGGGGTCTTGAACTCAAACCCTGTCCAGCTCCATTTCCTCTCCTGTTTTTAGGACAAGTATGACTGGTTTTAACGAGGCACAGCCAATACGCCTGGAAGAGAGAGTCTACAATATATTATTGTGATCTCAGCCAGAAGAAAGGGCACCAGGATGGTTAGAAATTGTAACTGGAACATTTAATGGAGTGTTTTATTCTCTTTTTACCATACCAATAGCAAGAGTGAGAGCAGCGCCCACTGTCCCAACACTGCTCATATGACACCTGCTTCAAGAACACTACTGCTCCTGGCCCATGGGCATCACTAGGTACCAGCCGAGTTTTCTGTCAACACCTTTTTCAGCACAGGGGCATAGCTGCAATCGCTGCAGCTGCTGAGCAGGATCCTGTCCTCCACAGTTTCGCTAAACTGGAGACCAGTTTCTGCAGTTCCCAGTTCAAACTCACAAGGGAATCGAGCAGTTTAAATCTTTCACTGATATTTTTCTGTTCATACTGTACTGAAAAATATGTTTTACCAGCTTCCTTAAAGAGAGATCAGCTTAACTCCTTGGGTACTGTCAGGATGCCACCAAAGCTCACAAGTGGAGGGACTCTGCTACCTTTCCTCCCCACTCAAAAGCTTGTGTAGCGTAGCCATTCTGAATCTGGCCATAAGAGGGAGATAAACCATTGCTTCATTTCTCCGTCTTGATGCCCTCTTACAAAACCTGAGCAGATACAGGACCCCAAAGCGTTTGCTCACTCCTGAGTGAATCAATTTAGTGGAGACAGCTCTCACAAAGTGTTTTCATTAATTCTGACTGTACGTGTGTAATGCAAATCGCACAGCAGATATCCTAATTTCTCAAGAGGCTTAACAGTGGGAACAAGTATCAATTAGGATTAGGGAGAGTTTGGAGAGAAAAGGCAACAGCCCAAGTGATCAGAGAGGAAAACACGGATTTAGGATGTGAAGCTGTAAATTCTGACCTATCCAAACTTGTAATTCACCGATCTGCTCCGGTGTGAGGAAGGTTGAGGCTAGAACACTGGCAGCAGTGCCTGGGGCCCCAGATGGTAGTGCCACGAGATTGTATCAGAACCATGGCTTCAGTTCCTGCATTTTTGTGATTCAAAGGCTGAGCCCACACGAGTGCCAAGTCAGCCTTGAAAACATGACTGGGCAGAAACCAGCTCAGCAATAACTGCCTTTGTCTAGACATCGTCAGAAGCCACGGTGCAGAGAAATGTGCTACCTCAGCCATCAGACTGGGAGCTGGCTCCACCGAAAATTCCCTCCAGCGCTGGGACAAACCCAAGGAAAGGCAACAAGTCCAACCCACCTGTCCAGGCTAAAGGAGTGCGAGGACCTTGTGTTTCACTGATTTCATCTTGCTGACTCTCATAAGAGAAAATCAGTGCCTTTTGCACTAGTGCCTTTAAAATGGATACCTGTTCACTTGGAAAAAGAGAAAAGAAAAATCCCGAACCAGTTTAGGCCTTGGCCCCACCTAAAGGATTCATGTAAGGACAGAAGGCTGCAGTTTGCTTTGCAGAATTAGGGCCTCTGGGAAGTCCA